GATTTTGGAGTGCGATTTTTAGAATTCCATAATGTAGCTATTTAGATTGATATTTAGCCCTCTAGGTTGTCGGCCTACCATCTTATAAAGAAAAACTATTAAGCAAACCACCACAATATCCTAATGACATTTTAAAAGTGTAAAGAACCCTAATTCCATTATTAAAATCATTCTTCACAATTCACATCCCCTATGTTGTTGCAAGTCATTCTCTAAATACTGAGGAGAGCATCCTTTATATCATCTATCAGTTACACTAGTGAAAAATTTCATCTAAATCAACCTTAGAGATTCTTCACATTATTAAAGTCAATTATTAGTATAATCAATCCCGAGAACTAATGAGAGAAAACATGACATTGCTTGATCGCTTGGATTATATTAGTTATTTTTGGTACGATAGAAATATGATAAATATGATAAATTAATGCAAGTTTTTTTAAAAAAAAAGTATTTATAAATAGAGCCCTTAATTCCAATGTATTTGCATATCTAATACCTAAATTTTAATTTTTACATATATATCATATTATATATGTATGAGAAAGTGCATCACCTATTTTAATTAAAATTGTGGCATTTTTTATGTGATATAAAAATTTTGGGTTATATGAATATTTAAGGTAGAATTTAGGCGTCAATATGTAAATACATAAAAAATGAATGGCTTTATGTAAATGCCCTTTTTTTCAATACTAAATTCTTTTGCCAGGTGCAAACTGACTACTACCCATCATTTTCAATAACGAGATGAAAGGTGTGTGGTGGTAGGGTAACAAAGCATTATCTTAGTGTTGCACGAAAATCATTCACATATTCGGATAATTAAAGAAAAGTAAATGAGACTTCTCAATTTTTATGTGGAAAATCCTGGAAAGCAGAAAAAACTGTAAGGCCTAACATAATTGAAGTAATCCACTATGAATGGTGAGTACATGTGTATACTCTTCTCCTGAATTTGGGAAGATGAAGTTAAAAGGTTGATTATGTTAAATGTACAACAGTAGTTCATCCATTATAGTCATAATCGGGTTGTAATAAATGTAGTTCTTGGTGATAATGGGTTGCAAGAGTTGTATTTGATTGTTATGGAGGCAACAGTCTGTCGTGAATGTTGCAGAAAATGAATGTAGTGTCAGCTTATCGTACATGCTTTAGTTGAAAGCCATGGAAGTAATTGGTCAGGTGAGACGCAAATGGCTTCTTTAGGAGTGTCGGTTAGCCATTAAGGTCGTAGTGGTGAGTTGTGATGATGTCCATCGATCGCAAAGGCCAGAGTCTAGAGTTGCATACCTTTAGGCCATATATGTTGTGTTGGTCACATAGGTCATAGTGATGAGTTTTGATGACATCAATATGCCACAAAAGCTAGAGTTACGTGAGTTGTGAGCCACATAGGTCTTAATTTGTCGCGTAGGTCGTAGTGGAGAGCTGTGATGACGTCCGTAAGCCGCAAGGGTCGTAGTTAGAAGCTGCACATGATGTGGACCATTTAGGTCATAGTCGAAAACTTGGGTTGTAGTTGTGAGTTGTGATGACGTACGTAAGCCGCTGGAGCTTTAGTAAGGTGATGCATGAGTTGTGGACCATGTATGTCATTGTTGGTCATGTAGGCCGTAATAGGGAGTTATGATGATGTTTGTAGGTTGCAGGAGTCGGAGTCAGGAGCTACACGAGCTTTGAATCACGTAGGTCGTAACATATCAAGTAGATCACATTGGTGAGTTGTGATAATATCGGTAAGACTCAGGAGTCAGAGTTAAGAGTTGCATGAGTTGTTGCATAAATCATAGTTGGTCACATAGGTTATAGTGGCATGTTGTGATGATGTCCATAAACCAAGAGACCGAAGCTAAAAATTGCATGTACTATAGACCATGTAGGTCGTAATGATGAGCTGTGATGACATTTGTAGACCGTAAATGTCAGAGTCGAGAGTTACAATGAGGGAACTTTAGGAGTTTGGAGAAAGTCATCTTCCACAAGTTGTATTGTTATACTGTCATTTGAAAACACAGTTTCACTATATGTGTGGTATGTTGTTACAACGTCATCAATGTGTATTGTTGCACTGTATTTTAGGTTGGTTGTTACACTGTCTTTGGGATGCATCATTGCACCATAAGTGGAGCGTGTTTTTATAACGTATATGGGGATTATTATTACACTATATTCAGAGCATGTTATTACATCATCTTTAAGAGGTGTCGTCGCACCATATATGGGGCACCTTATTATTTTGTATTCGAGGTGCATTGTTGTACTGTCTTCGAGAGGCATGGTTGCATTGTATATGGGGTGCATTGTTATAATGTCGCTGGGGTGAGTCATTGTATCATATTCAGAGTGCATTGTAACTTTGGGATGTGTAATTGCACCTTATGTGGGGTGCATTGTTATACCATTAACAGGGTGTGTTTTTGTAACATATTTGAAATGTGTTGTTACATCATCTTTGGGAGGCACGTCACACTGTATATAAGGTGTGCTGTTACATTACATTCGAAGTGTGTTGTTACACGATGTATTGGAAAGACACATTGCTCAGACGGGTGCCTCACTATATCGCAACTTATGTTGAGAGTTTGCAATGCACGTTGTGACTCCATAAGAGACTTTATTGCAAGGAGTGGGTGGCGGCTGATGTCGGCTGACGACAACATAAACGGGAGGAATTCATCAAACCTTCAGTGCATAAACGATGGTGAGATTCAGCTTCGTCTCCAAGCTTTGGTCTTTTTATGCATCTTGGTCTTCCCACCTTTTAACAGGAGGTAGGGCTTTATTTATTGAGCCTAGACTGCAAATAAGAAAGAAATTTGGAATTGAATGTCCGTAAAGCACTGGGAGAACCTTGGTGACTCGAGCTATTGCATTCGTCACGAGAGAAATTCACTTAATCTGTCCTTTGGTTCGCGACACTTTATTTCGCAACATCCACACCCCACAAAATGACTTGTTCCACGACCACCATATCATCCTCATAATCGATGTCGATATCTAATGATATATAAGGAATCGTTTGGACTTCTATAGTTGCATGAAAGAAATAAATGTGATTATTCAAGACAAAATTCAAGCCACATACCCAAAATCTGGTTCCAGTTAGACGTGGTGTAAGAGTTAGCTCCCTCACCGATCTTTTTTAGCTCTTCACCCACATAAGAAAAATGACTCTTTGGCAGATGGCGTGACATTTCCACCCTGATCATCACCTCACCTTGACCATCTTGAGAAGTTGTTGCCCCCCCCCC